ACGTAAAATTCTGCAATGGTCCGCTGCGGGCCTGAAGGGCCTGGGCGGCTGTACGTTGGTTGTATTAAGTCCCCCGGCCTGTGGAAACGGCCCTCAAATGCCAGTCAAAGTGTCTTATATACCGATTTACGGCCCCTTAGTCGATGAGGGTTTTTATGTCGGTTAGGTTCTTTTCACATCATCACTCCAGGACAGTCAGCTCCGTGTCGGTTTGAGCCTGAAGCCCATTTTCCAAGCAGGGACTGGGCCAGGCACCTGAATTACACTGTTCGTACCCCTGTGTCAGTGGGCGTCCTCCGTGTCAGTCGGGAGCCCAGTGTTGACAAAGGGTCCCGAATCGGTCAGCAGCAGTGATGGAAGGAGGAGGAGGGGGGGGGGGGGGCGCAGGACCCTCGGAAGCAACAACTAAATGCGTGCTTGGAAGGTCGAGGGGCCCGACGGGCTGACTGTAGATCACATTAAGGACCCGGACCCGAAAGACCGTGACATCACATATCAGTGAGAGACCGCCAGCACCGAACAGTCGGCTCAGTGGCGGGCTAGGAGTCCCGAGGGCTCACTTCCCAAGCAGGGTCCAGGCCGAGGCCCGCGTTTTGCATCGATCGGGTCCCTGAAACAATAAGGAGTCCCTATTTCGGTCAGGGACCCACAATGCCTAACAGGGGGTTGTGTCGGCAAGAGGCTTCGGTGTCGACTAGGCGAACATTCGTTGAACAGGAGCAGGGAATGAACCCCGAATGCTAGAGTTACCTTTTGCGTTGGTCGGAACCTTCTGACAATGAAAGGAGATATGCTAACTGCTAATGTAAGCCCATAATGAGAGAGTGGAAGCGTCCTGCGCTACTCTGGGACCCCTGAACTGAACAGGGGCGCTCCACTCCAGTGGAAGCGTCCTGCGCTACTCTGGGACCCCTGAACTGAACAGGGGCGCTCCACTCCAGTGGAAGCGTCCTGCGCTACTCTGGGACCCCTGAACTGAACAGGGGCGCTCCACTCCAGTGGAAGCGTCCTGCGCTACTCTGGGACCCCTGAACTGAACAGGGGCGCTCCACTCCAGTGGAAGCGTCCTGCACTACTCTGGGACCCCTGAACTGAACAGGGGCGCTCCACTCCAATGGAAGCGTCCTGCGCTACTCTGGGACCCCTGAACTGAACAGGGGCGCTCCACTCCAGTGCAGCCGACCGCCCGTTAAGCCAGCCTTGACTCTTTGTGCGAATTATTGAACCACCTGCGGCGATGAGAGATCATTTTGCGTCAATTAAGGCCCATGCATCGATCAGAGGTCAACTGCCCGGGTCAAACGGCCTCCCGGATCAGGCAGGGGACCAATGCCCCCGTGTCGTCGGAATGACAGCCAATGGGGATTCCCAGACAAAAAGTCGAATGGGAAAAAGTCGAAAGACAAAAAGTCGGAGGCGCTAACAACCAACAGGGATGAAGGTCGAGTTGGAGAAAACTTAAAAGAACAGTCGAGAGCCGATTTTGTCTGACCGGATGCAATCAGACAGCATTAGACGTCAACGGACGTGGTCGGAAGAAACCAGATGAAGCAGAACGGTACCAGACGGGTCTAGACAAAACCGGACGGAACCAGACTGCACAGGACGACATCAGACGGAACTGGACGGTGCATGGCGCTATGGAACGGAGCTAGCTTCATTTGTGTCTCGGGGTGGGGATCCCTTCGACCCACCACTTTACTCACAGTACTCCCCAGGGCATAATGTCCGGACGCTCAACGTCTTTGTTAGACTCAGATGCATTCCAAATGATTTGCACGGGTGGCTTTGAGCAGTGGATCACTTTTGAGCAAAGGTCGTTGCATGTGTTAAGGTATTTGTCCGACCGATTGGTATCAATAACGCTACCACATGAAGAGGCACTATATTCTATAGCGCAGCTGCGCCGGCCCAACCACCCGAAGCCAGGGTAAGGGCATCACTGCTGCTGGATACTTGCTTGAGTGTTTGAATGTTCCTGATGCTTGAGAGGGCAACACACCGCAGAGGCATACCGGCGGTCGCGAGGCTCCAGCCCACGTGGCTACCGTAACGCTGATGAAGGAAACGCCAACGGGGACGCCAGGATGGAGCGCTCACCGCTGCCACCAATTGTAAAGCTCTTTGCCGGACCGATTGGTGGCAATAACGCTATCACATGGAGAGGCACCGTATTCTATAGCACAGCTGCGCGGACACAACCGCCCGAACCCGGGGTCAGGGCGTCACTCCTGCGGGCGTGGCCATGACCTCACCCTCAGCACCCTTCAGCTAATCAATTAAGTGCAGCAGGAGAGTACAAAAGAACATGCAGCGACTAAGCCCTTACACATGTTCCCTGAACGCGCCATCCAAGTTGAATCGCCCATGGGTGACACAGGTAAACGGGCAAAGTGATTCATTGTCCTGCAGCACGTGTTTCACGTCCTGCCCGGTCCTGGGCTGGCTCCGCGTGGACAAGCTGCCAGGTGCCCTTCCATGTCAGTGGGATCAAGCAAAGCAACGTTCCCGCCCGGGGATTCAGGCCAACAGCCGTCGGGTAAAGAGTTCAAACATGCTTTTTCCAGATGACAAAGGAACGCTTGGGATAAAAGGCGAGTACAAACCGTTGACAGATCTGCCACTAGCACCTGCCGCCTGGCCCACTCTTCTCAGCGGCTTTGTACATAAATCAGGTTGAATCCGCAGAGAAATAGCCAAGCTTTGTGATCGGGATGACCGTACATCGCGCTTGACTCCACCGACTGTTTCTGAACAAAATCGGGGGCACAGGCAGGATGGGGTGAGGGTGGGGACGTGGTGAGGCTCGGGCAAAATACTCTGAAAACAGAGGTCAGCGCGCCGCAGGCACACACATTTTCCCGCGCGTTGTACAACAACCCTAACAGCTTTCACTCACAAACTGGAAAGGAAACTATTTTTCCGAATACAATGGCATCTGAACTTATCATAGTCATCACATTGATTGGCAGGGGTATTTAATGCTACCACTATATGAAAGGAACGGCGCCGACTGTGATGAAATGGAGATTTGTGAGGTACTGTGCAATGCTTTGCACTTAGGCATGGAATGCGATAAATGTATCATTTGTGGGGCGACCGGATAGTGCTACCTTAAAGGCCGGATAGCCTTATAACTAGATGTAGATGTTGCATTTAAAAACTAGGCTTAGTTGTACATATCAAGCCCAAATAGCTGTTTGGGCTTGTTTGCCATCGGTAAACAGAGATCGTTGCTTCGAACAGTGATCTTTTGTTGCGATCACAGTGGATAATCAGCATGAAATCAGAGCGGACAGTAAAAACAGGAGGGGGTTCTTTGCAAGTCAGCAGACAAATATGGTACGTGCGCCGCGATGAGGGCCTTTTCACGGAGGGAACAGCCCGATTTACAGAACACTTGAGCTATTGGGTAAAATGGCTCTCAAATATGGCAATCAGTGTACGCTCCCCGACTTACAGAACACTTGAGCTGTTGGGTAAAATGGCTCTGAAATATGGCGATCGATGGACGCTCCCCGACTTACAGAACACTTGAGCTGTTGGGTAAAATGGCTCTGAAATATGGCGACTGATTGACGCTCCCATTTGTTAATGCTTATCTTAAAAGGTGCTCAGCACTGGACACATGACAAAATCTGAACCTTTTTGATGTTAGTGCGTCCAGGGCAACAACATAAATTGCATGGAGTCTTCGGCTCTTAATCTTAGAGAAACTGCCAGACCTCGTTGGGCATTTTCAACTGTTTCGTGGTCCTGGGACGTGTATGTTCTTGGCTGTACCAAACGCAGTGAGTCAGCCACGCTATATACGTACGGGCGGCGCGCCCGACGGATATAGAAGCCACACGTCTAATGGCCTGGCCGCCGGCGCCGTGGCTGCTCGCGTCGGCGCCGCCAGCCACCGCGGCGGCTATTTCGCGGCGCACTTCTGTGTGCGCCGCGCCGGCGGCGAACGGCGCCGCGGGACCGCCGGATTTGTCGCCGGGGACAGATACGGCGCTGATAGTGACGCTCGTCGGCCGCCGCGCCGCCGGAGCGGCAGCCGCCGGGCGTCGGTCGCTCCACGGTCGGAGGCGAGTCCCGGTCACAGCCTCGGGGGCTGGCACCGATCACAGTTCTTAGGTGTCAAGTGGCTTTGGGTTCGGTTCATGGCAGGGTCACTGGTGGAGGAAGCCTTGCTGGATCCTGCAAGTACGCTGGCCACACCCTCTTGTAGAGTCATTAGATGCAGAGAGCTCATTTTACAACCTCCGATGGGTTTATTATATTATTTGGTTGAGTGATGATGAGGTCGAGTGACATTTTCTGCGTGCAGCTGCATTACACGACCATTGTGAAGTGCAGCAACGCCTCACAGGCATGATTTCTTCGGTGTACTCTCCATATGACTATGCAACTATTTTGCAGCACTCGCTATTTAGGTAAGAGACACAGTTATCATAACCAAATGCAATGATAGGCATAAAGCTGTTACCCCCCCCCCCCCCCTCTCTGAAACTGGACAATGGTGTATGCGCATGTAACGATCATGTGGAACACTAGGATATGACCGTATGACGATTGACGATATAAGTATTAAGAATGTCTGCGCATCATCCCCAATGTCCTCTATCCAGGAGAGTGAGGACAGCCAAGTTTTGGAATTTTGTGTCGCGTTTCCGACCTGACGAGCATGGCATCGACAACACCCATAATTTCTTTCAAATGGCACATGGCGATGGGTGCCTGATCTAAAACTGCAGCGCACCAGGGCGACTGCGCGTACGATCTCACGCTAGCCAAGGCAAGACAGCCCTGAGGGCTGAACATTTATAAAAGTGGATTCTTAATGTACCGATCAGTCCAATGGACACCCTCAGCATAGCCGCAGGATGCCTCCAAAAAGTCGATGAGCCCAGCCCAATTTCAAAGCAAATTTTTGCCAACTATCTCACGGCAAACTTCATGAAAACTGGATGCCCATTCCACGCCTGTCTTTTTTCGCCCACGTCTCTTACCTGATATGTCGAGCAATTGAAGCAGTGCCAACAGCAGCGTTCGCGCGCCTCGCTATCGACATACTTCCTGGCCTGGCCGTCGCGGCATGGAAGGCTGCAGATGGAGCTGGGCGGCGACGGCGCTCCTTGTCGGAACTGGAGCGCTGCCGGACACAGACGACCGCGTGAGGCCGGCCAGGTCGCGGCACGACGACGCTGCCGGAGATCCGGCAGTAATGAATGCTCCCGAACCAGCGCACGCGACGCTGAGTCGGCAGCATTCAGTTGGGTTTGCCAGGCGTTGAAGGGGCCGCGTGAGGGATAACTGATCAGTTAACAGCACGTGGGACACATACGGTCGATGTGTTACCACACCTGCTGGCGGCGGGATATTGGAGCTTACTGAAGAAAGAACAATGCGCTTTTGCGCAAGCCGCCGCACAAAGGATAATAAGCAAGGTTCATATCATCTAGATTGAAGGCCCAAAATGGGATACCAGCTTTGCTCGACATCCGTGCATAAAGCGTCTTAAACTATGACCGAATCGTGCCCGGAGAAGGCAAGAAGGGTGGGATTGCAGTGCACGGAGACCGTGCCACTGACGGAGGGCTGGCCGCGGTAATGGGTTACGACCAAACCACACGTCTCCCTATTCCCCTCCGTAGGAAAACTGAAAACACATTGGAGCATCTTTGCACGTATGCCATTTGGGCGCAAATGCTATCTTGGCGACGCAACTCACTTACAGTGCATAGCAGCATAGCAGCCACCAACAATATATACCACTCACTACGCCCCTTCCCCCTTCGCATGGCCCCTCCCACTCCCGTATAGTCACCCTTTATCTCCTAAGCCTAAATTTGAGTTTCTACGCGCTTTTCTGATAACAGAGCTCTGCACCAGTCTGATTGCTCTGCATACGTTAAATAAAAAGCCTGCTTTGGCAAACGCTGTTTCGTCCTTCTTATGTACTCCGCTGTATTACGCCCATGAATTTCCAACTTTGTAATGCCCCTGTGACCTACCAATTTTAAATTCATTATCAATCTATTCGCGTTGGGTGCGTGGAAATCAGTTCATTCACTTCATAACTAGGTCGGATCAAACATGCATTAAATTTATTGGCCTATCTGTCGCCCTCCTCCCAATTTAAAGTTTGATATTTTCCATTTATATATGTAGATCTCGTGGAGAGCAGTCAAACTACGTCTAGTTTTTCAAAACTAGCCCCGTAGTTCCAGAGATCTCAGGGATGGGTGGTAATCTGATCCCGTCACCTGAAATAAGGTAAAGGGAGGCCCGACGGGTATGCTAGTCACAGTCCTCTTTTTCATTTCAGGGGCTGTTAATGTGAGAAGCCAAGGGAAGCTTCGACTAGTTTAGTTTGGCGAGTGTCTGGCACAAGGTTGAAACCATAGATGAACATTCCAGACCGACCGCCAACAGCAGGATGATCCACTGATTTGAAGCAGGCTTCAGAACAGGTGGAAGTGTTAGTTTCGTCAAAAGCAGCAAGTTGTGATCATTGTACTCAAGAACCCGTTGCGCAAAGCTTAACAACCCACAACTACGTCAGCATAACTTTACTATTCACGTAGATATTCAGGTAATGAGTCACTCCTCATTTAAGTAAGGATCAAACACGTCTCATAACCTAAGAGGATGGAGCATGAGGACTTCGAATGTGCACCTTTCTATAAAAAATACTCCCCCAGTCATAACATCAGCAGTGGTGACACACGGGAGTCAGCAGAAACGTTCCGCGCCGGAATGTTTCACGCTTGAAGGCATACAGGCATCAGATATAACGAAAAAGCACACTCATTGGTATACTTCTCAGTGAAAAGACTGCTCTAGCCAACGCAATTTTTCTAATTAGTTAACATGCTCCTCAATACGACGTTGTTTGACTACGTCATAGAACGTTGCCCAACATTGATTAAGAGCCAATTGACGGCCGTTATATCTGGAAATCGTGCCCACAATGGCAGATGTGCATGATTGGATGACTATATCATTCTTGGTGTATATCGCTGCATGAACAAACGAACGATATGATTTGAATAACGTTAATATGAAGTCATGAATGCCTGGGTGACCTTGAAATGATCTCACCGAAATAGTATGCCCATCTTCGTGGGCGTGAGCTTAGAAACTAGAAAGGTTTAGGTCTCAAAATGGGCACGGTTGTAAACTGCGCCGAATTATATTCATTGTGGCTATTTTAGTTCAAAACCAAAACAATTGCGGAACACTCGCCTTTAGGTAGGATGGCAGTACAATCGCTTCACAGCGTGTTTTTCCCTCTAGTCCATAGTGATCACGTGTCAAACGCCTCGTTTTCTCAGAGCTGTCGATCGCAGTATATCTTGCCAGCCAATGTCGATAAAACCCACAGCGTGATATCCCCATGTTAGAGCATACATGCAAGTTCTTCATGTTGTGGATGCGCTGCAACATGAAGGATGGATGTGCAGTTTTGTACTTGATGCTATATTTGAAACACCTGAGATCTAACGCTACCTTTCTGAGATGTTGCGGATGTAATTGCACCCCACCTGGCTGTGAAGCTATGCCCATGACCTAAGAAGGGAAAGATGCCATCGGTGCGCAACAATCTTAGAGGAAACCACATCAACGAAATGTCCTCTGTCTGTCTCATATTTTTCAGTTTAGTAATTGCATGTTAGCCACCTGACAGTTACGCAGCAAAGTCTAGGAGTTAAGGTAAATGCTGAAAGGCCGAAGAAACGTACCCGGCGCTCGCCGTCCACTTCGACGAGTATCGACTGGCCTCCGCTGTTACGAAACTTGCTGCATAATTCGCCAGATGCTCTCAGCATATTCCTCTCACATGCCAGCATATCCTTGGTTTTCGTGAAATCCGCCCTCGCCTTCGAAATTTGTTTGGAAAATGAAATAAACTCTGCACGCTGGGTCATGATCACGTTCGGTCTGTCGTCAGCACGACTGCCAACTGGAGTTTGTGACGTCACTTGTGCTGACGGAATGCTCGATGTGATGGGTGACGGGAAATCACACAATCTCTAAATCTAGTAAAGTTGCTTCTCAAAACGATATTGTTTCATTCCGTCATCGTACCTCGTGCAACACTGATTGAGAGCCAACTGTCGGCCGCTGCATTCGGAGATGGTGCTCACGAACACAGATATAAACGCCTTGACAACATTTTTGTTTTGGCCTTTATCGTCACATGACCAATGGAATGACAAGATCAAAATGACGTTATTAGGGCGCTTTGGATGGCTGGGTGACCTTAAAATAGTCTACACGAAAAGTATGCATATCTTCTCGGGTGTATTGCTCAGGAACTAGAAATGTTTGGGGTTTAAGATGGGCAGAGCTGTAAACTGCACCGAACGATCTCCGAGATCGCTATTTCAGTTCAAGATCCCATACAAATTTGGAACACTGTCTTTGATGACGAGCGATTTCAACAGTTGCTGTTCGGTGGTGTGAGTACCTCTGTAATGAGCTTGGTTAATGAGCGTTATTGACTGGGCGATTGATACAGGGCTTCAGTGGCTGCTTGCAGCAGCAGGCAAGCCCAACGATATGTGTAGATATTTGCGGAGAGCCAGCCAGGCTGTCCAAGCACGTCACTGATGCAGTCACATTACCGTAGGCCCGATATTTGCATGGTTGAGGCATGTAGGTAAAAGTAAGACTTCACTTGGCACATTTCAAGTCTTTTAATACAAAATTCTGCCAATTTTTGGTTAGAAATATCTAGTTCCAGACTGGCATTGCGTCATTGTTAAAACCGTCCGCGTTGTAATAAACAACACGTGTTTTTAACATGAAAGCCTTTCAAACTCACATGGGACTCTACACTTAGGACCGGCAAGATGACATACATCGTTCGGCATTTCGGCCAAAGCGCGTTTAAGTCCCATTACAGTAAAGCAGGTTCAAATCACTCATACACTAGACTCACCAGTAACGTTCCCCACGCCTGCCATACTACACTAACCATTGTTGAACGGTTGTTAAGGTGGACTGGTGCTCGCTCATAATTGGGTAGCGGTAGGATTGATCCCTTCCGATCAGCTGTTTCGGTCAGCAGCCAGCCAACGCCGCGCCACATATGACCCCGCTTGGCCTCTCATCCCACTGGTTGCGTGCCTGGTCGTACGTGCAGCTGCTCCTATCTTCGGCATGATCTGTACTGAATACCCCGTATGGCATTTGATCTCAGCTGGCACATTAACATGGTGTCAGCTTAGGTGTTCCATTTAGTTCGGAGATGGGCCTGCAACTGCTTCGAGCTCTGTTCTGTGTTCAGCTTCAATTCTTGTGATTGGGTGCTCCGTGTTCCGTTCTGTGTTCGGTTTCCATTCCTTATGTTCGGGTACCCCGTGCCCTGCTCTGTGTTCAGTTTCCATTGCTCATGTTCGGATGCCCCGTGCCCTGCTCTGTGTTCAGCTTCCATTCCTTAGTCCGGGTGCCCCGTGCCCTGTTCTGTGTTCGGTTTCCACTCCTTGTGTTCGGCTGTTCCGGTCACACGGCCGTTCAGATTAATTTGATAATATTGTGCCATCGACTGGAAACGTTTCGCCTCATTGATACGAGGTCATACGGTCGACAAAATTACATTTGGTTAAATGTGTTCAGCGAAAGATACATTTGGATGAATGTACTTCGGTCATTTGTCGGATGCCGAGATGAGGGCCAATAGTATGGAAAGCGAATGTCCAATAACTAAGAGTCCCCGCTTGCTCTGATAAAGGCAAAGGCATACTTGCCTCTACCTCCTCGTTTTTCGTATATTTCCAATGCTTATGATGACACTGCATACACCTATGGCTGTATTGACGTTTTGTGCGTGCATGTAAAAGGACATGCAGTTATTGTAATACCTTTGATCGATTTGTCTGCTCTACGAGCTCTGGCGATCCCCTTAACACGCGCTACACGTGTGGGTCTACACGTGTGGGACACTAACACGTGAGGGTCAAATTGACCTCCAGAAAGGTTGTTACCGAATGGTTCCCGGACGGCGTGGCGCAGCCGCGCTAAATTTTGCATGGCTGTACGCAATCGAATAGCGGGATCGTCTCGCGTCAAAATCTTAGATGTACCTTGTAAGGTCGCTCACCTATGACAGGTCAAGGTCAGGCCATGGTTTCGGCGAAGGCCATT